ACCCTTCTGCCCCCAACCCTCACCTCCTTGTACCCCCAATATGTTTTTCCCAATTAAAAAATAAAGAAAAAAGAAAATACAAAGACATGCTTGATGCAGGCTGTGGTATTGTCTGGTGTTTCATATGCAGCTGAAAGTTGGCCAAGGAGTAAGAAAAACTGGAGAATTTGTGCTTTGAATCATGAATATCCCATGAGTTGCCAAAAGAACAAACAAGCAGCATGAAACTTCATCTTACATACTTTATGCCTGTTGTCAGTCACTGAAAAAAGAAATCATGCTGGGGAAAGTAGAAGGTTGTGGAAATAGAAGATAGACTGACACAGCAGCTACAGTAATGGGCATGAACATGGTAGAGATTGTGAGGATGGCTCAGGATAGGGCAAGATTTTAACTTGTTATTTATAGGATCTCTATGAGTGGTAACTAACTTGACAGCACCTAACAGCAAACAAGATTGCCTGCTTAATGGACTCAGTGTAGGTAAGCCTGACTTAGATGCTTTGGGAAACAAAAAACTGTATGACTCAACTTCATTACTGTGATCTGGAATCAATCCGCAGTGTCTCTGAGGAATGAACTCACTTCCTTTCCCAATATTCTCTCTTTTTGCTTGCTCTTTATATTTGTAGACTTCTTAGTTTAGTTAGTTAGTTAGTTAGTTAGTTAGTTAGGTAGGTAGGTAGGTAGGTAGGTAGGTAGGTAGGTAGGTAGGCAGGCTTTAGGGAGGGGCTTTTTGCTGTGGCTTTTGCAAATGTCTATATTACCAAATATTTTTCCCCAGTCTGTGGCTTTCCTTTTTACCCTATTGAAGAAGTTTTGGGATGTGCATAGGGATTTGATTCATAAAAGATACCATTCATCTATTTTATTCTCTCCTGGTTAAAGATTTTTCAGGATGCTTGGGAGACTGTTCATGTTGTGGATTAGGGCTTCTAGAGTTCTTCCAAGCTTTCCTCTGATGAAGTTTATTGTCCTTGGTTTTAGTCCTAAGTCTGTGATCCACTTTAAGTTGGTTTGAGATGTGGATCTTGCTTGAGTTTTCTGCAGATAGTTTTCGAATTTTGCCAACACCACTTGTAAAGAGGCTTTTAGTTTCCCCACTTAACTGATTTCATCTCCTTGTCAAAAATCAGTGACCATAGATGAGCTCAATTCTATTCCATTGATCTATGTATCTGTCACTGTACCAGTACCAGGCTGCCTTGACCACCACAGCAGTGTAGTAGGATTTTAAATCAGGGAGTGAGATGCCTCCTACCTTGTTTCTCTTTTTCAGGAGTGCTTTCCTTACTATTTGGTAATGATATATCTGATAATAGACTTCTATCCAGAATTTATAGAATACTCCAGCACCACTACAAGATAAAGGTAAACGATCCACTTGCAAAATGGGGACAGGTTACGAACAGACACTTCACCAAAGAAGATGTTCAGATGGCGAACAAGAAGAAATGTTCAAAATCCCTAGCTCTAAGAGAGATACAAATCAAAACAACTATGAGAGATCATATAACCCCAGTAACAATAGCAAAATTCAGCAGAGCAGCAAACAACAAATACTGGCAAGGTTGTGGAGAAACTGAAACCCTGTTGGTGGAACACTGTTGGTGGGAGTGTGAAATGGTGCAACCACTATGGAAGGCAGTATGGCGCTTTCTTAAGTAGTTGGAAATAGAAATGCCGTTTGACCCAGCAATTCCACTACTGGGAATATACCCTAAAGAAAGCAGAACTGCCTCTCAAACAGATATATGCACACCTATGTTTTGTTCATATGTATTGCTGCATTGTTCACACCAGCGAAGAGATGGAAACAACCCAAGTGCCCATCAACAAACAAATGGATAGAGAAGCTGTGGTATAGTCACACAATGGAAAAACTGAAAAATAGTTCACAGCACTGAAAAACAAGGAACTCAAAATATTACACAAAATGAGTGACCCTGGAGGACATTTTGCTGAGTGAAATATCTCAGTCACAAAAGGACAAATGCTGTGTAATGCCACAGTTATAAAACAGGACTGACATGGGGGTTGGGAGAAAACTAAGAAAAGAGAGGATAAATAATGTATAGTGCATTGAAACAGATGAGGGGGAAGAACTGTTTAAAAGGAATATATAATTAGGGATTATTTGCATTAAAACAGTCCAGACAAGAGCTGCATCGCAAAGTGGAAAAGGGAGGAGGGAGAGAAAACTGAACAATAAAAGAAATTTTTTAGAAGAAAATTGAACTTGGGGGTAGGGAGGAAAATGTGCAACAATGAATGAATGGAAATCCAAATTCTTGATAAACTTTCGTTAAGATCTCAAAAAAATTTTTTTAAGTCTATATTAGTATTTCATCAGAGAATGACTTCTCATGTTATTAAAAGCTAAAGCAAACTATATGTTTGTTTTCTAATCTGCAAACTGTGTTTTTAAATACTTTTTTGTAAATTATAAAATTTTTTTCATTGTTTTACATTTTCTTCTCCCGTCTTTAACCCACCCTACAGTGTTTTTTTTGAAGGGGAAAAACCCACCATAGTTAGCTACTCTAATTGTTATTTTAGATAACTTTTAAACATCATTAATGATGAAACAAAAAGTACGGTTGGTGAACTTTTTTTCTTTTTTGTTTACTTTTATTGTCATTGTTCTGATGTTTGCCTCACAGTTCTTCAGCTGTCCTGCAAACACTTTCAATGTTCCTTAATTCTACAATTGCAGTCAGTTCATAGTGTCTTGACTCATGGTCCTCTCCTCACCACCTAATTTTTAAGAATTTGTTTTGTTTTGTTTCCTCCATATCTAATAATAGGTATGTTTTTAAATTTAAGGGATGGACAAAAAAAATAGTACTTACTGAGGAAAATCAGCATCATGATATTTACTCATTTTTTTTAAGATTTACTTATTTTCTTCAAAGAATTCTTGTTTAAAAGCAGGTGAAATCACTTCTCAGATTTTAGACATGAAAGTATGCTTGAACATTGAAATTATTTATAATAAAAACCAAAGGGGGGAAATATGGGAAGCCAATAATAAATCTTTGTAATAAACTGAATGCTATTTAAATTGAAAAAAAAAAAAGAAAATTGAAATTATGAATGTAGTCTGACTTAATCCTGTCCTCAGCTGGTCTCTTCCGTTTTGAGATGTCCCTTGTAGGATAATTATTTGGAATTTCTTTAAGAAAAAAAACAACACATCATATATTTTCAAGTTAAGGATGTGGTTTTAAATGTATCTAGAGGTAAAATGTATGAACAATAGATGTTTTTATTTATTAGTAAAACAGTTAAAATATGCTACAAAAGTTTGCATCATGAATAACTCTTTTTTCGGGGGGTGGGGGTGCAATGGGTATCTGCTTTCACAGAGTTTAGGAGTCGACACACTTCCTCCCCCTGAACCAAAACCTGCAAGAGCTGAATTTAACTACACTGTGGGGTTTAAAGACTTAAATGGTAAGCACAATTGCTTCTTTTCTTAATGAAGGTATGCTCATGATGTTGACTAAAATTTGTATGGACCTATAGTTTGAAAACAATATTCAAGCAACCTGCCTGTCATGTGAACTATTACTTAAAGTGAGGATTTTAGATTCTCTTTTTCCCTTCTTGTTCATAAGGCCACAGAGTAATAAAGGGTTGTAATATAAGAAAATATTAATAATGAAATGTCCCTTCAAGAGTAATAATTAACTTTCCATTTCATAATGGTTAATAATATATGAATAAATCTTTCAACATGTATTTTATATATTTTTTTCTCTTTGACATTTTTTTCTAGAGATTTTTCTTTCTCTTCCCAATATAAAGCTATCTTTACTTTCAGTAGAGACCATCTTTACCTCTTGTGCTGCTTAAATTACAATAAATCTTTACATAGATAATAGCTTCCAAATTTATGAGCATTCACTCCAACTCTTAAAAAAGATTTGTCAAAGGCTTGCTGTGCTTGTGAAAGTTCTAACAGCAAAAAGAGAAGTCCAGTTACAGGGGTGTGAGTCCCAAGCTTTATTTCTTTCACTCAGTGGGTTTCTCCATCATCTCAGAACAATTTCTTGATAACCCAAAAGGTGTCAATATCTATGTCTTGATAAATGGTAAAAACTGAAAGCCATTTTCTTTTTTGCTTGCTTTATTTTTCTCTCCAGTTTGCCATATATAGCTTATTCCTACCAGTTATTTGCATCAAGACAACAACATCAATAAAGTTTCACAAAAACAGTACACTTTGTAAAGTGATATCATTAATAGATGACATGGGCTTGGTTCACATGAACAATGCAGACTTTAGACTCACCACATTCATAGCAGCCTAGTGCTTTTATTATTTCAGGTACGATTAAAGTTTAATCAAGACCTGAGTTCAGTTCATGTGGATAAATTGACTTTATCTCAATTCAATTAATGAATTGAAGATCAATACGTATAAAAAAATTAGTCGATAGAAACTGAAGAATCTATGGTAAACAAGCAATGCTTAAAAGACAGTAATAAGGAACTTCATTAAGGAGGCAAAACAAACACATGGTGCATTTTAAGTATAAAGCAAGACTACAAATAAGCATAAAGCAAGACTACAAATAAGCACTGATATATTTTAAAAAATTAAATTTGGAGAGCATTTTTATGTTGTTGCTGTTTGCCTTTAAGGTGCAACTGACTCATAGCTGAATTTTCAGAAGTGGTAAATCTCATGGAACTATATCTTCCCTCCATGGAGCAAACCTTTGCATTGACTGTGTGTCTCTTTATCACTAGGCTATTAGAGCTCCCTTTATCCTTAGCGTAGGAATAGAATTTTTATTGTCTTCACTTTAAAGACATTATTCAAGTGGGGCTTTAAAAATATATTATCACATAACATCCTGGGTGACACTGATGTGTCAAATGCGATAATGGTTACCCATGGTGGACAGCGTTGGGAGGAGCTCCCCTATTAAAATAAGCTTGGAAGCAGGAGTGGCATCCTCTTCCAAAATAGCTTGCCTCTGGAAACCCTATGAACCTGGAGAAAGGATGAAAATTATACTAATGTTCAGGTTTTTTGTTCATAGGGTCTCTATAAGTCGTCTACAACTTGACGGCACTTAACAACAACAACATCATGAGATTTAATGACAGACCTCAGAATGTAGTATATTTATATCTCATTCCCTAATTTAATTTTATAATCTCTATATTAGGATTATATCAGAGGTATTTTGTTCCTAAAATATTTGTGAATTATTAAAAGACATTTATTTAAGTCAATAGACTCACAACATAATTGATAGTATTGTTGTTGTATACCATTGAGTCTGAACCACTCAGAGCTGACCCTCCAGCAGGTTTGCAGAGACAGTAAATCACACAAGAGGAGACTGCTCATCTTTCTCCCATTGAACAGTTGATGGATTCAAACTGCATGCCTCTGAATTGGCAGCACAGCCCTTACCACTAAACCACCAGAGCCCTTTATTAATAGCGTTGTTGTGTGCTGTAGGATTGGAATAGACTTATAGCTGACACTTTAGTGGGTGTTCAGAGGCAATAAATCACAAGGGAGATTGCCCATCCTTCTTCTAAAGAGCAGCTGGTGGTTTTGAACTGCATGCCTTTGGAATTGCAACTCAGGTTCTTACCACTAACCCACCAGAGCGCCCTTGATTATATTAAGACATTATTATATGTTGCACTAATTCTACATGTAGTTTCATTGAAAACAGTTAATTTAACTTAATTTGTAAAGAAATTATATCTAAAAATAGCTTAGAAGAAAGTGAATTTATTGTAGACATTTAGGAGATCCAAACTTTAGTCATCGTACACGAGAGCTATTAACATTAAAGCCGTTATATCATTTAGGGATCTCTTGGGAAGGTAAACCATGAAATTTCTCAGCTTTATCAAAAGGTCCATGGTTTGAAGCAACCCAGAGGTGCCTTGGGAGAAATACCTGGTGATCTGTTTCCATACGTTCGCAGCTATGAGAACTCTATGGAACAGTTCTACTCTCACACATAGGGTCACCATGACTCAGCACGGACTCCACAGCAGCTGAGTGGTTTTGATTTTATATGTTATGCAGTTAATTATGGTGAAGTTTGGCAGTAAATTACTTGACAAAGCATTATGCTTATTTGTTACTGAGTAACTCTTGTTTTCACTGTCCCAATTTCTTCCTTGTAGCACATCCTACACATGGCAGCTAGAATTTTCTTCCTCCCAAATCATTTTCCCATCAATCTTTTGTTCATTTCACAAGCCATCTATTGTACCCACCTCCACAATTCTTTGCTGAAAAACAAAACAAAACAAAACAACCTCTTTGTTAACATTACCCACAAACATTACTCCCACCTCTCCACACTTTTGCTGTAGTAATTTCACATGTTGAATGAATTCCAATATGAGCCATTCTCCTGCTCCCTCCCTCTGAAGTCCATGTCTGTCCTTCCCTTTAAGCACTGACTTCCAGTTCACTGTCTTCTGGAGATGACCATTGAATCATTTCAAAGAACAACTCCTTATTTTTCAGTCCTCACTTGGATTCTCAGTCTTTGTCATTTATTTTCCTCTTCTGAATGGGAGAGCAACTCTAGTTTGTGGTGTAGTTGTAAAAGCTCCATCCTCATCGCACAGTCTCAAGTCACATTAAACCCAAGTTGAGTGAGACCCACTTTCTTCCAGGTAATTTCACGAATTGTACTCTGCCTGCCCTCTAAATACTTGGGGAGACTTCTGCTTCCATCCCTTCTAGGATTCTCCTCTACTCAAAAACTGTATGATCTTACACCAGAGCACATAAGAATTCGCTGCATTGGTAGCTATTCATGTACTTATATTTGACTTCATAACTTGACAGTGAGCTTCCTCAGTTTTTAGGGGTCCCTTTTTCCGCTTTATGTTCTTTCCTTGGTGCTAACATGCTTACTCACAACAAACACTCGTTAAATGTAGCAATAATAATTTTTTTAAATACCTATATTTGCACATATGATATTGAATAAAAATATCTTCTGCTTTCTTCATTAAATCATAGCAAGAAGAAATACTTTTTGCTATGCATGAGGTGGATTGATTCAGTGGGGTAATTAGGATGGGTGTATCAGAGATGGTGCAGTTGGCACAGGACAGAGCAGAGTTTAGGGCTGTTGTACATAGGGTCGCTATGAGTTGCAAGCGACTTGACAGCACATAACAACAACAACATGCAAATATTAACATTAAGAAAATTTTTTAGGGACCAGTCTTTGAAGAGGGACATGGTGTTTGGAAGAATGTCAGGACAGTACAAGAGAGGAAGACCCTGGATATAGGGACTAACTCAGTGACTAGGTTAATGGGGGCAGATATGTCAGAGACAATGATGTTGGCTCAAAATAAAGCAGGATTCAGAGATTTTGTACATAGGGTTGCTGTAAGTTGCAAGCAACTCAACAGACATAGCAATAACAATTAATTGAATACATTAATCAATTCTAATTGATGTTATCCATGCATCTCTGCTGTTCATGTTTTGAACTTCTGTTTTAATCCAAAAGGTGTATGAATGGTTGAATTAAAAAAAAAACAAAACCTAATGTTATTTGTAAACTTTTAATAAAGTAAAAATGGATTTTAAAAAATTTTTTTCCAGTTTCTTCACATACCAAATATCTAGAAATAATGTTATTTTTCCCTGCCCCCCCCAGAGTCTTTAAATGCCCTGGAGGACAAAGATTTAGATGCTCTCATGGCTGACCTGGTAGCAGACATTAGTGAAGCAGAACAGAGGACAATCCAAGCACAGAAAGCGTCTTCACAGAATCAGCGCCATTCAGCATCTCTGGAGGCATCCAATTGCAGTGCTGCAGCCTCTCTGGGTTACAAAGTCAATGTTGCCACAACTGCTGTCAGCCCCTATGAAGATGATTTACCCCCTCCACCAGCTGATCCTGTGTTAGACTTTCCACTTCCACCACCGCCTCCTGAGCCTCTCACACAGGTAAGCACAGGATACCAGAGGTTCACTCGCTCTCAAATACCTGTCGTCTTTGCTGTCTGAGAAGTCACAGCTGCATTCGTAAGTGGTGGTGGGTAGTGTTAGAGTTTAATAAAGAGTTTTACATCAGATGGCTAATATAATGATCAGAGGATTGACAGGATAAATGATCTATGAAAAAGATTATTTAAAAAGAGCAAATAGCAGGCCATTTCTCCCACAGAGCAACTGATGGGCTTGAACTACAGATCTTTCCATTAAAAGCCAAGCACAATAACCATTGGGTCACCAGCACTCTTTTTCCTTTTTTGCCACCAGGACTTCTTAACTAGATGTATAGGTGTGCATAAAGAACACTTTAGGGTGATGTTCAAGAATTACTGTAATTGACTAGACTGTATGTAGGCACTTTCTGCTAATGCTTAGAATTGGGGGAATTGTTTTATTAGCTTTATGTGATTTTGATAGATTTTTAAGGGCCTAAGAATTATTCTATCCTGAATGTATGCTTATTGCTTAATTAGCCTTCTTTCCATAGCTTAATGGAATTACAAGTTTTGTTAATAATAGACTAAGCATTGGATGATGAGAGAAACGTTGCTTATGTTCTTATTTCTAGGTGGATATTTTCTGAGAATGTTCAGATGTTGTCCATGAACTGAGCCAAATCTATACTCCTGAGTCAATAGATTTAGATCAAAAGGCAACAGAATGCAAAAATCATAGTCCTAAATTTTTCTGGGTGTTTGTTGTTGTGGGCCATAGAGTTGGAACTGACCCATAGCTGACACTCCCGTGGGTTTTTAGAGGCAGTAAATCTCATGAGACAATGAATAAGGATGACAGAAGAATTGATGCCTTTGAGCTTTGGTGTAGGAGAAAAAGACTGAATGGAGTATCAAAAAAAAAAAAAGTCCTGGAGAAAGTGCAGAGAATGTTCCTCAGAGGCAAAGATGTTGAAGCTTTGTCTCACATACTTCGGACATATTGCTAGGAGAAGCTATTCCTTGGAGAGCAACATAATGCTCAGAAAGGTGGAGGCTTGCCAAAAAACAAGGCCTCAACCAGTTGTATTGACATAGTGACTTCCACAGAGGGCTCTAGTGTGTAATGAAGTGTGAGGACAGCACAGGATGGATCAGGGTTTATTTCTGTTGTTCATAGCTTCTCTGTGTGGCCTACTTGACTTGACAGCATCTAATTACAAATCGCACAGGAGGAGATGGCCTAATGCAGCTGATGGTTTCAAACGTCATGGCTTTGGGATTGCAGCACCGCTTCTGCCAGCACGAGAGCTACCCAGGCCCTTTAATACTTAGCTTTCTCAGGTTACTTATATTTTTTGTAAGTTACTGCAGCTTTTATCTCTATTTCTAATCAAACTAGATGAAAAATTATACTGAAAACAGCATGTTGGCATCTCTATTGTTCTCGCCTTCAGAATTTAGTTTTATATATTATCCCAAGAATCTTTTCGAAAATAACACTTCCCACAATTCCCCCAGAAGCTGTGGTAAAATGAACAAGCACAAACACAGAAGCACTACGAGGCACCAAACACCCTATTTGAATGCACTAGACACTTAGAAAACCAGGAGTTCTATAAGAGGGAAGTGTTGCCAGTACGTGGAGATTCTGTGCCTGCCAAGATTCCTTCTGCCGGCTACCCCTGTGAGAGCCTATTCCCCTCAAGGCCGACACACTACACTAATGTATCTTTTTACGTCTCCCTCGGGAAAATCAATATGTCAGTTCTCACAAATGGCCTTTAAATATCATTTATAAGGGAACTCTGGTGGCCTAGTGGCAAGAAGCTGCACTGCATTCCCGAGGTGCATGGTTCAAATCCACCAGGTGCTCTGCTGGAGAAGGAGGGACAGTCTCCTCCTGTACCAGTTAGATCCGACTTGACAGTACACATACACAAACACAAAAAAAATCATTTATAGTACTTTTGCTGTGTAAGTTAGCAAAGGCTTTTCACAAAGACTGAAGAAGGAAAATAACTCTGCCCAGTTTTGTGATTTTAAGCTAATTGCTTAATCTTTTAGCCTCGCTAAGATGGAAATAGAAACTCTGGTGTCCTAGTCAGTTCTGGTGACATAGTTGGTCTTGAGTTGCCCTGCTAACCCAAAGGCCAAACTTCTAGTGGTTCAAAGCCACAACAGCTCCTGGAAGAAAGATAGCCAGTCTCCTCCTATGGAATTTACAGCCTTAAAAATCATCCTGGGAGTCAGCTATGAGTCAGTTCCAACTCCACAGCTCATAACAACAATGACTGTGTGTTTTAGTTTCCTGTAGCCACTATAACAAGTTATCACAAATTAGGTGGTTGAAGACAACATATATTTATTTGCTCTCACAGTTCAGAGCGTGAAAGTACCAAATTTGAGCGCATTCCCTTTGGATCCTTTCAGGAGAATCTGTTTTTGCACCTTTGAGCATCTGGTGGCCACCAGCATTCCTTGGCTTGGGGTATATTACTTCAATTTCTGACTCTGAGTTGCCACTGTCTTCTCTTCTGTCTTGTGTGTTTCTTAATAAAAACATTTATCGTTGGGTTTAGGATCTACCTAGATAATCAGAGATGATTTTCTCATCTCGAAATTTTTATTTATATTGCTATAGACCCCTCTTCCAGTTAATGTCTAGAACATTCAAAGGTTCAAAGTTTAGAGCATGACCACATCTTTTTGGAAGCCCACTGTGCCCTGAAATTTCCTAAAATGCCTTTCAAAGAACAATTATTAAATCATACTCAGTGTTCTTCTATTATAGGCTAATTATTTGGCAATTGAGGATCTAGAGAAAGAGAATATCTTAATGTGAGTTTAGGAAATTTCAAAGGCGTATCCATAAATCCTTTGAAAATAGATGCAAATATAAATTAGTATGTGAGTTTCTATGGACTTCATAGCTTTAAGCTTTCTGCCTTAAAAAAAATTAAAGAACCCCTAGTATTTAAAAAAAAAAGTCATGTCTACTTTCAACAAATTAGAATTAACCAAAAAAATTTCCTTTCCTGATCCTTATGAATAGATATATAAGGAAAGCCGTAATAATCCTATTCTTGCAATATTATTGTGTGGCAATCAAGGGACTTCGGGTTCATAAACCATTTCTTTCCTATGTACTTATGTGTATTTGTCAGTGCTTTTTCTGTGAATTATCATTTTTTAATCTAAGTCTTAGTAACGTAAGACTCTAATAAAAATGGACTCCCAGGAAACGCATTATTGTTATTGTTGATTGCAACAGATAGCACCCTCAGGAGACTGCCTCACCAGGTGTCCTAGACTCTATTCTTTATGGGAGCAAATTAGCAGGTATTGTCTCCTGTAGAGCCCCAAAGGGATTTGAACCGGTAGCCTTTAGATTAATGCTTAACCGTTCCTTAAAGAAACACAAAAGATAAAAAAAGTGCATGTAACTTCAGGAAGTTCTCAGATCCCTTGAAGATCCATCCATAGATTCTTTCAGCTAGATCCCACTTAACAAGCAAAGCAGAGATGATTTTGGTCTAAATAGATGAAACACTGCTAAAGTCATCAACTCTTCTTTTAAGTTACTTTCCCAAAGATAGGAGAAGATTGCCTTCTTTACATTTTACTAAGGATTTTTCCATTAGAATCCATCTCACTGTACGAATCTATCATAAAACTTGATACTTCTGACTAAATGACACCTAAAAAACAAAACTCATTTCTAAGCAGTATGCTGCCTAGTATACCTAGTCAGGGCTCACCATCCAGCACCACCCCGTGAGCTCAGCGATGATGAATGGATTCTCCATGAACTGTGTCTCCTTTCCATTTCCCTGTGCATTTGGCCTCTTCAGTGCTTAGTAACGCCTCTACTGTAAGGAAAAGAGGCGGAAAGGGAGGGTGGTGGACTTTGAGTCAGAGCTCTAAAATGAGAGCAGAGGAGGCTGAAAAAAGAACTGACATGAAAGGTATTTGCATAACTTACAGGCCCTGTGGACCGGCCATCCCTTGGAGCCTGCATCTCACCTCATTCTCATCAGAGATAACGAAAGTGCAACTCAAGTGGTGTTAGTAATAAGGACCATTGCCAACTCCCCAAAATCCTATAAGTGATATCTCTATGTAAACCAGTTGTTTGAAATGCTTTGAAAATGAAATCATGATATCAAAAGGTGTATGTTTGATTTTTTTAAAAAAAGAAATTGCGACACTACTAGCAAAGATATGAATAATGACTCGCTGGTATTATTAAATGGACCGTGTTGAATATTTTGCCATTTTACAGGAAGAAGAAGAAGCCCAAGCCAAGGCTGATAAAATTAAGTTGGCCCTGGAAAAGCTGAAGGAGGCCAAAGTTAAGAAGGTAAAGTCTGAAATACTTTTGAATGGAGAAGTTAAAAGACAATTATTGTATCTAATGGTCAAAATTTTAAAATATTGAATAATAAAAGTAATTGTAATTAAGACAATTTTGAAAGAAAAGGTAAAGTAGTTATTCTTTCTATAACATCACATTGGTGAGTGATTGTTAGGTAACATATATGTTAACACAAGTGTGAAAATTTAATTGGGTTTTTGGTTGATTGGCACATGATTTTTTTAGAGGCTGGATTAGTGAGAGTAGAAATACGGTCACTGGGCAGTCAAGAGAGGTCCTTTGTTGGCTGTTGCACAGGCAGGAAATCAGTGCCTTCTCCCAGGACTCCTTCTCTGGGGAGACATTCTCTTGGACTTTGCTCAGCTCTGGCTTGTAGTAGGAGGCGCCCTCTTCTGGGCTGACTTGATTAGGTCAGAGCTTGGCTTCCTTTGACCTTGTCTCCAGATCTCTACAATTGCTTTTTGTGAACATTAAATATTTGATATTCCCTAAAGCATCCTCTAGTCTCCCTTCTGCCCTGGATGGATGTCAAAGCTATTTTGTGGAAATTGAGCCCTGTATTTTTACAGTTGCATCAGTTTAACTCATCTGCTTCTAACTTTGTTTTTCCTAACAAACTTGTAATTTTTTTCACCTGTTTT